TGATTAAGCTATTTCACGTGAGCGGTAACTTTATATTTTTCGACGCCTGATGAATTATTCGCGGAGATACATCGGATGATGAATCACGTTACATTTTTTATTTCTGCAGCTTGTATACTCGGATACATAAAATAAATAAATAAGTGTTAATTATACTGTATCAATAAAAGTGATTAATAGCACTAAGTTTCTGCGTAAATTCTCAGACCAAGTGTGTGCAAATCGATAGCTCGAACAAATTCTCCACAAAAAAACAAGAAGAAGGAAAAAAAAAAGTTAAATATGTACATTTTTAAATATATTCTATAGTTAACATTTGAACAGAAAATTTTATCTATTTCCGGATTACGTGCATATAAAATATAGATATGCTTCTAGCACAAAATATTCGAATAATTAATGTTCCATTTAATATTTTGTATTGAGAAATTGATAATTTGTACTTTAGAGAGATGTAATAATCACACAATTCTTTAATAAGAATAAAAGGCTTTAGTTTAAGTGCCTTAGAATCAAATTAATGCCCATTAATGCCTTAAATTATTCTAAGATATAGTAATCTGCGGAAATCTTCTATACGGAGATATCCGGAGATAAAAATGTGTATTTAAAAATCATAATTCTAAAATTAAAGAAAGAGAAAGAATAATTTCAAATATATTGAAGTATAAGAAAGGTCGTACATTTTATGGCATTATAATATGAATATATTGCATAAAAAGATGCATTTAGAATGTATGTGCGCAACATCTTTTCGTTGTGAAAGTAAATTACGAATTCTTAAGTTATTTATTGCTTTCTTAGAGATAAATACAATGGAAATGCTACAAAAGTTGTTTACATTCCAAAATTGTCCGCTTTAATATTCAACGTGTTTACAAGAGATTGAAGTTTATTGAAGAAGAGACTATTTGCGCAAATGTCAGTTGCGCGATGTACCGTCACGCGCGCTTCTTCCATCTCAATTAAGATGCCTGATAATTTTCTTTCAGATTTTGCGCTACGAAATATTCGACGGCAAAATATACATCACAATCCACTCGTCTCGTTTTCATTATTTTCTGTTTCGTGCGCCACACATTTCCTACGCTTCCTGTTGCGTGCGCAAGTCGTATTGTCCGGCATTGCGAATCCGGCGAAGAGAAACCACCGGCGAAATCTATGCGGTTGGAAAAAATATAGGTATCTCTGATTCCCATCCGAGCGAAAATAAATGCGCGACTCGAAGGCGATAAGCGAGGGAACAGGATTGACGTAAAAGTTTCGCAATATTTCTCCCCGCGTAAATCGCAGAAAGCATGGAGTAGGCGGAAATAAAGCGCTTGCGTTGTAAGATGAAAGAAAGGGAAGCTGCCGGAAATTGCATAAATTTGCAGGCTGATAAAGCTTAAAGTACCGCGTTATACTCGTCCAAATTTATCCCCATTCCGAAGAGAACGAGCGTAAAGCAAGACAAAAATCCGGAGATGAGAATGATAAAATATTACAGACGATTTTCAAGCAAGGCCTTAATCATACTAATAAGTATTTATTGAAAAAATATTTTTGTGTGCGCGGAATAATGCATTTAAAATATAAATTTACTGTTAGATAAGCATACGTAAACATTAACACTAAATCAAATTTATCAGAATCTATTTGTTGCACATATTTTACTTACTCTCTCTTTCCATATATTTTATATATAATGTTATATAATATATTGCAATTCGTTTAACAAAAATGAAAGGTTTTTATTTAATACGGCAAGTTATTAATGTTTAATAAAAATAACAATTGTCAATATATGTCAATTTATAAATTAATAATATTAATGCATACTCCAATACGGTATTAGAGACAATTATTTAGATATAAGTAGCAAAAGTTACATATATATATCTATATACAATTACTAAACTAGTTAATTTCGTCAAGGGCGAAATAAAGCACATTTTCTACATCTTGATCTAAAACTAGTGAACGAGGAAGTATGATCTGTGCGATTTCCATGTCAGGTACAAATGGCTGACAGTGTCGTCCTCTAAAAAATATGCTCCGCGCACGCAATCCTTTAATTATTTTAACTATCTAAAATCTAAAGATACAAATTATGTTAAGGTTACATCTAAATTTGGGATATATTTCACTTGTAAATAGGTTTTTTGACAGATTGTAATATACTATAATTTCAATATGAGATCTTATCTTTTTGTTACTTTGTGTGTAATAACACACTTATACTTTATAATTTAGATTTAAGTAATAAAAAATGTATTTATGTATGTTACAATTATGGCTGCAGTGTTAATTGAAAAGTTACGGAGCATTTATTTCAAAAGCATAAAAGAAATCTGATATTCTTGGATAATAATAGCTGATGCTAATTGGGGTCTCCTTAAGAGGCCGAGATGAATCCTTTCTTTTTATGCAGTTGCATTGAGATCGCTAATCAATTTTGTTTATGAATTATGTTATTTTTATTTGTAACATTATCAACAATACATTGTAAATTGCTGGTGTGTGTGTGTGGTAGATATAATTTGTAATATATATAATAAAATATAAATTATATATAACAAAATTTTTATTACTTACGGACTTCATATCTTCTATCTGACTCTTTCTATGATATCTTTTTACAAAATTACACAAAGATCTTAACGCTTTTTATTGAAAGATAGTAAATATTTCTAGAATGTTCTAATTTATTGTTATTGAATCGCTGACAGATAACAATATCATCATGTAGTTGTGTTATCGTAAATCGGGAATAAGGAAAATAATGTGCTGAAAGAAGCATTGTCAATCTGATAAATATTGCGTGTCACTCTACTGAACTCATAAATATGTATTACGTTGCGCCATAATATATACTTCTCTGAATTGCGTTAGTATGCGAAAAATATGTTATCGATTGCATTACAAAAGAATGCTACATTTTGTTGGAAAATTGGGAGAGATAAATATATAATAAACTTGTAGCAGCAATGTGGTTTATTATTCGCCCTTAATTAGATAACAGACTAGCAAAGAAGAAAATTACCACGTATGAAATGTAATTGTAACGTTAGAGCTCTTTGATGAAAACCACACATGGTTAATTTCACCGACGTATTACGGCGCAAGCATATTGAATATTATGCATCCATTCCAAGCGTTTGATCTCCGGATTAAAATTAACCTGATAATCATGCGCAATAGTTTCTCTTATAAATAACAGATATTTGAAAAACATATAGAGAGCATATATTATATATTATATAT